AAACAAATGGAACATAAGATGTGCTGCAAGTAGGTATAAAAAGAAAAGTGAGTAATATTGGAGGAGGGATGACCAATTCTCTTTGTATATAAAAATGTTTTGCAAAACTATTTTAGTATCATTTATTGAAAGTACTATATCAAATATAATACTACTACTACTAATACTAATAATAATACTACTACTACTAATAATACTACTAATACTAATAATAATACTACTAATACTAATAATAATAATAATAATAATAATAATACTAATAATAATACTAATAATATAATACTACTAATAATAATAATAATAATAATAATAATAATAATAATAATAATAATAATAATAATAATAATAATAATACTAATATTACTAATAATAATAAAAACTGTTACATCATACTAATAATAATAATACTACTAATAATAATACTACTACTAATTTTAATAATACTAATAATAATACTACTAATAATAATAAAAAAAAACTATTATAAACAATTAAAAAATTGCTAAAACAGTGACAAGAGTGTTCTCATTTAGCTAATGTCTTACTATTATCTGGGAGGTATTTCTACTGCACCCTGTACTATAATTTAAAATTTGCACATGGAAAGAAATGTTTTTGTAAATCTAGTTCAATACTTGCAAAAGTAATCTTGTTTTCCATCACTTTAGATGAAAAAAAAAAAAAAAAACCTAATGTTTTGTACTACACATTACATAAATATATGAATTAAGCCCCAACTATCATCACTAACACTGGAATGATACAATTTTAATGAATACATATATACATATATATATATATATATATATATATATATATATAAAAGGAAGTAGTAGTAAAATCTATATCTTTTGATTATATAGACAATTACATCCCAGGTTGTCTGTTTTTAGCTATCTGAGCATCCCTCACTCCACAAAGAAAGGAGTAAAGTTAATTTGTCTAAGGCTGTTTAGAAAAAAAAAGTCTGTTAAGAAGCTTCAGGAAAGAGAGAAAGAGAGAGAGAACCACCCAGGAACAGACAGGCAACATGTCACTACCTGCCGCCCAATGCAGCTTTCTCCCATATCTGCCTGCAAAATGGGCAAAAATTTTAAAAATATCAGCAATATTTAGGGACAACAATAACTTATAAAAAACAATGCTGAAAAGGAAAAAAATGAACAAAGACAAGGCTAATCAAGAAAGAAAGAAAGAAAAAAAAAAAAAAAAAAAAAAAGAAAGAACAAACAACTAGTGCACACTTACAAACTGAGAGAACAGTTTTGCAGAAAAGGATCCATCTGATAGTTTTATTTAGACTGAATATTCAAAATATGCATAATTAAGATTCATTTCTCTTGTTTAAATTTTGCAAATATTGTTTAAGAATTTAAAACAATACAGATTACTTAAGATTCTTTCCAAAACCATATTTAATCTAGAAAGTTACAAATTTAGTAATTTTAAAGAGACTAAAAAAAAAAAAAAAAAAAAAAAAAAAAAAGAAAAAAAAAAAAAAAAAAAAAAAAAAAAAAAAAAAAAAAAAAAAAAAAAAAAAAAAAAAAAAAAAAAAGAAAAAAAAAGAAAAAAAAAAAAAAGAAAAAAAAAAAAAAAAAAAAAAAAAAAAAAAAGAAAAAAAAAAAAAAAAAAAAAAAAAAAAAAAAAAAAAAAAAAAGTTTAATTTTTTTCATTTTGAAAGAAAATTAAAGCCATTTCTGAATAAGTTGCCCCTACTTATTTGTAGTGAGATTCTAATTAGAACTCTTCCAAATTGGATGATAATAATAAAAAAAATTGGATAATCTTGTGGTATTCAGATACTAAAAGCCATCTCTTAACTAAATTTTATCAAACCATAATCCCTTGTAAAAATGACACCTAATTTCAGGAAGAAAGACAACTTGCTCTAACGACAGAAGAAAAATAAATGAAATTTGAAAACAGAAGTTGGTCTTTTCTGCAAATACTGTAGATCGGAAGAAATAAAATTTGAAATAATAATAAGTTTTATTACAGAAGTGCATTTCTAGATAGAGAAAAATGGCATAAAGTGTTGAACGATGCTGCCACTACTTCAAATCAGAAACTTTGAAACCCAAGTGAGGGAAAACTATAACTGGATACAGGCGTCACCATACAAAACAGAAAGCAGTGAGATTTAGATATTAGCCTTCCACCTCAGATTGAAGGAATTCAGGAGCATTTAGGAAGAATATATTTATAGGAATATATATATATATATATATATATATATTATATATAAAAATGATATCTTAAAACTGAAACTTATGCTGCATGCCCAAATTATGTTTTCCGTATTCCTTTCCCAAACAATGGTCTACTGAAGAAATTGACCACAAACTCACTCCAACCAAACACAAAAAAAACACTTGACTTTCAATGAACCGGATTTTATTCACAAGTGGTTTGGTATACAACACATATCAAACCTTAGAAAGTATACTAGCAAATGATCAGACTTAATTGGTGACAATACAGAATTACTACTCTATGACTCATTATTATTTAAACAGTTTTTTTTTTTTTGATGGTGAATTTAAAATTTGTGTTCTTCCCAACAGTAACATGTCTGTTACTAAGTTGGAGGGAATTGGCTGTGAATTGATAGGGAAAAGGATGAGCTCCACCAAATCTAATTGCACAAGGCACACTGCACGAATGGATATTGCTTTGGATTTCCACTCAGATATGTAGAGAGAAACAGTCAGGTGCTCAGATGTGTTGCAGCTCTACAACCACAGCTGATGAGGGGACTGATTATATATATATTTCCCTAGTTATCTGGCTACTCATTTCCAAGGGCAGCTTAACAATCCCTGTAGTTGTTGTTCAACACCCAGAGCCAACATGGATTTATAGTGCAAAGAGATTTTATATAGACAGTATTTAATGACTTGCCCCCTTGGGACCTACTGCCAAATTTGGTAATATAAAAAGTTGAGAATTTTCAATAAGAAATTTTAAAGGTCATTTCAAATTAAGATCACCCCCACTTTATTGACTTTCACTATATGAAATGAAAAGAATTTTAAATTATTTTATTGAATGTTTAACTGCCTCTGTTGAGTATGGCATACGTGACTGTGACCAGAAGTAGCAGCAATGGTGCTCAAAATTACCTGTTATAAGGTGTGTGCTGCCTGGACTTGGGTAAGTAACTGTATATTGTGAAGATTGTGAAGTATAATATGACAGTCCTGTGAACGGAGCAGAGAAATCACACTAGTTATACAAAGAAAATGATTCAAAACATTAATATGTGGACCAAAGTAAAATATTCTGTTTTGAATACGTAAGCGAGATTGCAAAGAAAAGGGAAGAAAAATTACCTAAATTTCATTTTGCCTGATACTAGAGGAAAAAAAAAATACCATCACTCACTTTTAAAAAGTGGTAAAGAAACAAAAGAAACTTTAAGACACTAGTCTAAACTCTCAATTCATTGTTAGATTAGAGGTGAGATAAAAATTGGCATTAGTGAAATAAACTGGTCCACTTGTAAAAAAAATGAGGAAAATGAGCCTTCTTTAGAGCTTCACCAAGCTGCAAAATTTGTCAGAATTGATTTAAAAAGCGGAGTTCTGTTCATAATATCAATACAGTGTCAAAACGATCCTGACGTTTACAGAGCAATCAGCACAGTTTTTATTTATTTATTTACAAATGCCATGCCTTGGAAATCTGCTTATATCATTAATATGTGCATATGTTTTTATACTTCTGTAATTTTACATAAATTTGTTCTTTAATGACAAAATGTGTTTAAAAAAAAAAAAAAAAAAATTTGCCCAACAATCACTTGTTTAAAATATTTTCCTCTATATATCTGATCTTTATTTAGAAATCTTTTCATAAAAAACAAATCAAAAAAACAAATCAAAAAAACCCTTTTCATACACAGATATCAATGATGTAGGCAGTTTTAAACTCAATACTTGTAAACAAATCACTAAGTTTCGATAACTTTTTTTTTTTTTTAAAGTTGGGTATCGATTTGATATTGCATCACTCTTATGAACGTGGTCAACCTCACATCTAATATTCTGACAATATTTTTCGATTCTGGTGTGTGTTGACAAAAGTAAGGTCTAAAAAAATGCTAATAAAAAAATTTCTTCCCTTATTTTTATGTGGACCAGTTTATTTAAGTAGTGCCTAAAAATCTCACTCTGAATGATCATGGTAGAAATTCAGTCAGACAAACGAAGTAACAGACCTTGAACAAAATATTTTGAACCTAAATGTCTATGTTTATTTATTCCACTTGTTAATGTTTAAGAAGAACACAAGCTTTTCAGAATAGCCAAAATAAACCAAGTGAAAGAAACAAAGTTAATTCCTGGTGTTAAGCAAATGTAAAATGACTTTTCTCCAGTGTTTATTTTTACAGAAGAAAAAAAATAAAGTTTTCAAAAATCTCCTTTGAGAAACTAATGAAAATTATTGGTGAATGCAGCAAAGTGAACAAAGAAAGATCCACTGTCGTCTTGAAAGAATATTTTGCTTTATAAAAAAAAAAAAAAAAAATTTAGAAAACATGTTTAATATTGGTATAAATAAAAAATTAATTTTTAAATACCTACATACAAGATTTACTCTTTACACAATATACTATAAACTCTTTGCAGAAATTCATGCTGTCAATAATGTGCAATGTATTAGTCTGACTACATTTTTATTGTTTCAATAGAATATCATAATCAACTTTTAGTATGTATACAAAAATCACACTAATGGGAGCTACAAAAATACTAAAGCATGATTATAAGTAGGTTTAGAAGGATACATTTGATCTTTAAGTTATTTGAAAAAAAAAAAAAAAAAAAAAAAAAAAAAAACAAAAAACTGGTCTTTATTATTATGTTATTTAAATATGTTCAGCAAAATTGTATTTAACTCATTTTAGCTTAAAAGAAAAAAAAAATTTGTCAAGAGTTTAATAGAGAAGAAAAAGTTTGTGAGCACATGGGGTGGGGAGGGAAGATAAAAATGCTTAC